GTGAGATAACATGCTCAACACGCTCCAGCAAAGACCCTTTTTATTTAGTCTTTGATCTCCGGTACATTTGAGTGCATCTCAGTTTACTCCGTCATTTCCCTCGAATCACCACATCATGACAAATTACTTAAAAATTACAACATTTATGTCCAGATGCACATTTTTCAAAGAATACATTAAACAATTCTAACTGAGTCCGGTTGAAGAATATTAAACTCAACACAACAACGTAATCTGATACAATACGAATAAAGTCATGAATATGTATTTCCCAGGGCGCATAATGCAACGTACATTTATGCCATCACATTAATAATGCAAAGGAGAGCAAGTAGAAAATACAATATTACTTTAATAATAATAATAGCAAAAAAAATTAAAGTGGAGTGTCATAATGCACCAAACGGACAGAAGGGCGAAACTAACTGAATTATAATTGCCATCATTTAGAATTAAACAAACTTGTATTTGATGACCCGAGCTGACCAAACAGTTAATTGTGAAATGTTTGCGCTTTGTAGTGTAATGTACCTGCAGTTCAAGCATTTTCATAATATCTCATTCGTAAAAAAACACTTTGCTTCTCGAACTCATTCTTGTTGAGTGCAGCCGCTGTTGTCACCGGAACAACTTTTACCCAGCAAGCACCAGTCCAGAAGCCAGAAACACAGAAGTGTGAAAAAGGCTAAATGACAAAATAAAAGCAAACTATTGGAGATACAGTGCATGTTGTGAACGTGAGGCAGAGATGCACGCAGCTTCCAGAAAAAAGTCATAATTGCGAGAAAAAAGTCCGAATTGTGAGAAAAACGTCCGAATTGCGAGAAAAAAGTCCGAATTGCGAGAAAAAAGTCCGAATTGCGAGAAAAAAGTCAGAATTGTGAGAAAAAAAGTTAGAATTGCGAGAAAAAATCTGAATTGCGAGAAAAACATCAGAATTGCGAGAAAAAAGTCAGAATTGCGAGAAAAAGTTAGAATTGCGAGAAAAAAGTCAGAATTGCGAGAAAAAAGTTAGAATTGCGAGAAAAAAGTCAGAATTGCGAGAAAAAATCAGAATTGCGAGAAAAACGTCAGAATTGCGAGAAAAAAGTCAGAATTGCGAGAAAAAAGCTAGAATTGCGAGAAAAAAGTTAGAATTGTGAGAAAAAAGTTAGAATTGTGAGAAAAACGTCAGAATTGCGAGAAAAAAGTCAGAATTGCGAGAAAAAAGCTAGAATTGCGAGAAAAAAGTTAGAATTGCGAGAAAAAGTTAGAATTGCGAGAAAAACGTCAGAATTGCGAGAAAAACGTCAGAATTAGAACATATAGGCTAAACTCAGAATTGTGAGAAAAAAGTCTGAGTTTATACTTCACAATTGACTTTTTCTCTGAATTCTAAGAAAAAGTTAGAATTGCAAGAAAAAATGACATAAACGTGCAATTGAGTTTATAACTTGCAATTGTGAGACACAAACTCATAATTCTGAGAAAAAAGCTTTGCGAGACATAAACTTGTGTCAGAGTTGTGGTGAGAAATGTGCCCAGGCCTACCGTCTCCTCGCTCCAGAGCCACCGGCAGCGGGTGGTTAGAATTGCGAGAAAAACATCAGAATTGCGAGAAAAACGTCAGAATTGCGAGAAAAAAGTCAGAATTAGAACATATAGGCTAAACTCAGAATTGTGAGAAAAAAGTCTGAGTTTATACTTCACAATTGACTTTTTCTCTGAATTCTAAGAAAAAGTTAGAATTGCAAGAAAAAATGACATAAACGTGCAATTGAGTTTATAACTTGCAATTGTGAGACACAAACTCATAATTCTGAGAAAAAAGCTTTGCGAGACATAAACTTGTGTCAGAGTTGTGGTGAGAAATGTGCCCAGGCCTACCGTCTCCTCGCTCCAGAGCCACCGGCAGCGGGTGGTAGTTATGAGCGCCGTGTCGATCCTCGCGAGCGTAAACCTCCTCTGACGTCAGCGCACGCTCCGTGGGTTCAGCTCTGGACGCCGCCGAGGACGATGCACGCTTCCCAGAATGCACTGCGCGGCTCAGAGCGGGCGTCACGCGGCTCATCAGACTCTTCAAGCTGTTCATGACGACTCGTTCGGTTCAGACTGAGACAAACTGAGAAACAAACACTCAATCGCACATCAATCCTGCGGAGAGCAGCACATTTGTAGTCGCATTTATTTCTACAGCACTTTATACAATACAGATTCATTCAAAGCTGCTTCACAGAGATGAACAAGAAAACAGTGATTTAGTTACAAAACTCAAAATTAGATTCTGCTGTAAAGCAGCAGGGAATATAAAGCTGTATTTTTTAGTTTCACAGTATATATCAGAGTATTTTTTCTTCACATGACTAGACCTTTATAAAGGTTTACAGTGGCTTATTTTACTGTCAGGAGGACACAGAATATAAAAACACTGCAATGTCAAATAGAAATATACCATGAAAAACAGCGGTAATCAAATTAATGAATAAAATTAACAACTGTAGGTAATTTAAGTTATTTTAAAGTTAATTATTAAAATGTAATCAAGTGAAAATTAAAAAAATGGGTAAGTTGTGTGATATTCCTTAACAAATTAGAGATATTCCATAAATATGTTTTAATACAATGTAGTATTATTATTGTTATTATTATAACTTAACAAGGACATTCTACTGTGCAATATTTCTGTCATAATTTTTTCAAGTTAGACCAATATTGTATTATTAGATGAATAAATATAACTGTAGGATTCTGTTAGGGATGCACGATATATCGGCCACCATATCGGTATCGGCCGATAAATGTAAATTTTTCTGTTATCGTTATCGAACCGATAAGAGAATTTGGCCGATTAACGGCGCATATTCTCTCAGAGACGACGAGAGACGAATCTCCTAATATGTGGTATATATAACTGTTTTAATTTATTTCCTTAAAGTTTCTCTTGTGGCCCGAACATAGTGAAAACAATGAGAAGAAACGCATTTCGTGTTGAACAGGTTGTTTTTGAAAGTCGGTGCTTAAAATAAAGCTGCCCTCAAATTTCACTGATAAAGTGTTACTGAAGTGTAACAATTTTATTTAGGCTATAGGCCTAAAATTCATTGTAGGCTATAATAGACCTGTTTTAAAAGACATTTTAAAAACATTTTCAGTGACGAGTAGCCTAAGCTAATAGCCTAATCTTTTATTTTCCCCACAAGCTGCGAGTCAGCGCATCAGTTATGCGGTGATGCGCTATGAAATTATTGCGAAGCAAATTAATTGTAATATTCATTTAATAATAAAAGTAACCTAATACAAGCCAGAAAATAACAGGCCTACATTAATTGGAAATGCCAAATACTCTTAATAATAATGAGAATATTGAATGATTTTGACAATATCTCTGGCTATGTTCATTACATGATTATCGCCTTTCAACGCACTCCATCGTCTTTATTTTTTTTTTTACACGTAAGTAATGTTGTCCAGTAACTTGTTTCCATTATTTAAGCATTATTTTATTTATTTGTAAGGCTGCTTTATGTTTGTTTTAATAGTGGTTAATGCCTTTTAATGGTGAGACTTTTTTGGTAATCAGGCTCTCAAAAATTATGTAAAAATGTGGATTTAGATTTATCGGCCAACATATCGGTTAACATCGCCTTTCATATTTAAAGAATTATTGGTTATCGGCCAAAATGTTCATATCGGTGCATCCCTAGATTCTGTAAATGAAATAAAATGGACTACAAGCATTTACTAAATGAATTATTTTATTATTCTTGCTCCTGGTGCTTTTATGAATAATTCATTAGTGACATAACGTTACTCTATTAGTTATCAAATGGAGACACTTTTCACAACATCTAATTTAATTCCTTATGAGGAAAATCAAGACCAGCTCTATTTATTCACTTTTAATTAGGGTTGGGTATCGTTTGTTTTTTTTTCAATACCGGTGCCAAATCAATACTTTTAAAACGGTTACGGTGCCTAAACCGATACTTATTAAAAAATAAATAAATAAAAATTCCCCCAAAAATGATGGACTGGCCATTAACACTATAAGCACATGATGTCTGTGTCATTCATACTGAACGAAATTAAATGTTTGTGAATCAGCAATGCTGAAAAATGCCACTATTAAGCTGATTTTCATGACGATGGCTGTGTAACTGCTTAACTATATAAGAATGTATATAAGTGACATTAATATAATATATATATTAATAATATAATATAATAGAAAATCTCATTGTAAAGCTCTAGGTTTTAGCTTCGGGTTTGAGCTCTGACACAAAACTCTGGTGTATTTTATGAGTTTGAGCTTCAACATGAATCTAAATGAAAATAAAATTAAAATTCAACCTTCATAACCAGCCATATAACAATATGATATGATAACAACATGAAATCTCTGAGCCGTGTAACACAGAAGAAGTGAGCTGTGCTGGATCATCAGCGTGTGAAAGAAACTGATGAACAGACAGAAAGCAGCCTGTGTTTCTCACAATAATGAGCCACACATCAGTCGGTCTCAATCATCAGAATCAGATCAGACTCCTGCTGACCTCAGATCAACACAGGTCAGTCTCACTGTCATCAATTATTAACTGATTCCTTAGAAACTTTCCACTAACACCGTCACTTATTTATAGTCACATGACCACGTGACACACGTCAAACGCAGCCTGAGGCGGTGATTGGCTGAAAACTCACTGCCCTCAACACGCCCACACACATACACACACACACACACACTCTCTCTCTCTCTCTCTCACACACACTCTCTCACACTCACTAACTAACACACACACACGCGCACACACACACACACATTGCGAAATCCTTCTTCACTTGAATTAAGATTATAATAATTTAATTTTAAAGCACAGTCACCAAAAAATCAGACTTTAGCACCTCTTTTTACTTTGAGATCATTCTGAGGTTAAATGCAGATTTAAAACCATAACAAGAAATAGTTTAATAGCTATGATTATCAGTTAAATTATTATTATATCAAAAACATACGCAAAACATCCATGTGTAATTTGTTCCTTCTTTGGTCAGCCGCCGAACTCCATTTCCCAGAATCCCCTGCTTTGCGCATGCGCAGACGCGTGAGCAGCATGGCCGCAGGCAGCAGTGTGGAGTGGCTGAAGAGTGTGAAAGCAGTGATTTTAGACATGTGTGGAGTGCTGTATGATAGCGGAGAGGGAGGAGGACAGGCGATACCCGGGTCTGGAGAAGCAGTGAGGAGGTGAGAACTAGCGCGCGGTTTACTAATAAAGTTATTCATTCAGCATTGCTGGACACTCTCTTAATAATAACAGCAACGACACATAATGATATATGACTTTTGAATACAGTTGACCTTGTATTGACAAGCGTGTTGCATAACAGATCAAATAGATTCGCAATACCATACTTAATCTCTCTCCCTATGCTGTTCATAGTATGCTGACTCTCTGTATGCATACTACAGTAGCCCAAATCTGCAGTATACATCCACCGGCTCTTACGATCACGTGATATGTAACATGACATGATTTAGTATGCTATTCTGTACTAAGTAGCCCACAATTTTTAGTGTGTTGAACGAAAGTAATGTCGGCTCTCGGCTGTGATCATTCTTGACTCATTATTTGATGAATTTGACAAATAAATAAAGAAACAAAGATAATTATACAAATATAAAACGTCCCCCACATAAACACTAAGTATGCAGTGCCGTGTGTGTGTGTGTCAGGCTGATGGATTCCGGTCTGACGGTGCGTTTCTGCACTAATGAGACTCAGAACACACGTGAGAGGTTCGTGCAGAAGCTGCGTGTGATGGGCTTCGACATCAGCGTCAGTCACGTGTTCTCCCCCGCGCCGGCGCTCATTCACATCCTCAGAGAGAGAGGCCTGCGGCCCCACCTGCTGGTGCATGATGGTACTGCACACACATGCCAGTAAGGCTATAGTAAGCTCTGTTTACCATGTTTTACAGTGTTGTTGTTCTTTACTGCCTGTGTGTGTGTGTGTGTGTGTGTCAGGTTGTGATGATCGGTGATGATCTGCTCAATGATGTCGGTGGAGCTCAGCGCTGCGGGATGAAGGGTCTTCAGGTCAGAACTGGCAAATACAGGTCAGTGTGTGTGTGTGTGTGTGTGTGTGTATGTGTGTGTGTGTGTGTTACAGCTGCTTTGGAATAGTGTGTATTGAAAGGCACAATAAAATTCAATCTGAATTAATTTCATGCACGATGGGTGTGTGAGCAGCAGGTGGCGCTGCAGTGATTAGAGCCGCTTCTTGATCGTGGCACTGTGTGGATCTCTGATCTCTGTGTGGAGCACGGGCTGTTCTCAGACAAAAATGAGAGTTTGTGTTAAATAGTGAACATCATCAATAACTGAGACACCACGGAGCTCCGCCCTCTCAGCCTGTGATTGGTCAGACTCTGGGTGACCTTTGATCTTACAGGAGCTCTGCTCATGTTCTGTCTGGTGTCTTGTGCCCCGCAGGCCGAGCGACGAGCAGCACCCGAGCGTGAGAGCCGATGCTTACGTGGACGACCTCGCCGCCGCCGTGAACGCCATCCTGACCGATCACTGACCAGGAGCCGACTCTAGCGATCGATCACGCTCTGTAGATGAAGCTGCACTGAGACATGAAGAACACTGTGAAAGCCAGACGCAAGCCCTCAGTGACACTTATGTATAATGTATTATAAAGGTTTCATAATGTACATTATAATTCATTGTATCTTTTCATAAGTAGATGTAACCTTGCATTATAACATTTTGTCATGTGTTTTAGTGCATTATACTTTCTAAAGGTGTAACAATGACTAGATAAAGTATTATAACTGTTGTTACAGTTATTCACAATGCATTATAAGCTGCATAATTAATGCATTAAAACTACTTTATAATGCATTATATATATAAGGGCTTTAGATAAAGTGTCTTTGTGAACTTACACTCACCATGGCCAATAAAAGACATTATTTTTGCATGAATGAATTTGCTGATAAATAAATGTCCTGCCAGAAAACAAACGTTCTGACACTGAGGTCTAGTATTATTAGGGCCGTTCACGCAGGGAACGCAGGGAAGGAATGGTAAAAACACTTGAGATGCAAGTTGAACTTCTTTTAACTTGAGTGCCATACATTAACATGCAGAGCTCATGCGTGACGCAAGCGCAACGGTAAAACGTCCTTCAGAGCACGTCTACATGAGGTGCGTCCCAATTCACGTATTTACACACTGTTCTATGACGTGTTTGGAATAAATACTGTGAGTAGTGAAAACTCCAAAAGAAAAAGTGCACAAAAACATTAGATTTCAGGTTAGCTTTGACATGATTACTGGTTTCGTTTGGAAACACTTGAGATGCAAGTTGAACTTCTTTTAACTTGAGTGCCATGTTTTTAACATGCAGAGCTCATGCGTGACGCAAGCGCAACGGTAAAACGTCCTTCAGAGCACGTCTACATGAGGTGCGTCCCAATTCACGTATTTACACACTGTTCTATGACGTGTTTGGAATAAATACTGTGAGTAGTGAAAACTCCAAAAGAAAAAGTGCACAAAAACATTAGATTTCAGGTTAGCTTTGACATGATTACTGGTTTCGTTTGGTTTGTTTTTGCTTTGTTCTTCTGCTTTTGCTGTAAAGCACTTTGAGGAAGCAACTCTTAAAGTTATTATTAATAATAATTACAATCAGGTGACATATTAAGCTTATAAAGCTCACAGTGCAGTGTATAGTGCGTCATTTGGGACACAACGACAAAACACTGGACTGTTCTGCTTCACTCGGACTGTTTTCCAGTAACAGTGCAACAATAGCAGCCAAGTGAGGAAAACTATAATGACACAAATGGAAATCTAGGAATGATGTTGTGATCAAACATATGGACGCACATCCTGCTGGACAGGAAGTGAGGAGTGACCAGAGGGACGTTCACACACACTCTCTCACGCACACACTCTCTCACACACACACACACACACTCGCACACGATGTGACAGACAGGTATCTGTAGCAACAGTGTACATCAAAAGAGCAAGAGCTTGTTAAATACAGTGCGAGGAATGAACTTCCTGTGTGTTTGATCTGTATTTTCCTGTTTACGTCTCGTCTCTCAATAAATGGCACTCAAGAGGACGCTGTGATGTCACATCATACCAGCCTACAGAACCTCAGTGAGACACTCTCAGAGGAAGTGCTCTCATCTCAACAGGAAATGGCTGCCCTCTCAGTGTGTGACTGTGTGCTGCTCGTGTGATTTGACTTTCAGTTCTGGTTCATATTCCTAAAACACAGTGAGAAAGTGTGTGTGTGTGTGTGTGTGCATGCATGTGTGCAAAAGTGTGTGTGTGTGTGAGAGAGAGAGTCAGTGTGTGTGTGTATGTGAGAGAGTGAGTGTGTGTGTGAGAGCTTGTGTGTATGTGTGTGAGTGAAAGAGTTTGTGTGCGTGTGTACGTATGTGTGCAAAAGTGTGCATGTGTGAGTGAGAGTGTGTGTGTATGCGAGTGTGTGTGTGAGAGAGTGTGTGTGTGTATGCGAGTGTGTGTGTGAGAGAGTGTGTGAGAGAGAGAGTGTGTGTGTGTGTGTGTGTGTGTGTGTGTGTGTGTGTGTGTGTGGGAGTGTGTGAGAGAGAGAGAGAGAGAGAGAGAGAGAGAGAGAGAGAGAGAGAGAGAATG